CCCTGTCGGGTGTGACTCAGATGGCGCCCGGGGCCCTGTGGGGCTGTGGCCCCTTCATTCTGCAGGGCTGTGCGGGGCTGGAGACCCGAGGCCCTCAGGCCGTCTCCAGCACGGAAGGATGTTTATCAGTGAGGGCTGGAGCTGCCTTGGCCACCCAGTAGCCATAGGGGCTGGGTGTGGATCCTTGTGGCAAAACCGGAAAAGAATCCCAAGCCCCCAGACCAGTGAGGACCTGGCAGATTGAAACCTGCTCTGCCCATTAAAATGTCAGATTGATTTAGGGCTGCTGGTTCCTGTTTTCTCTCCACGTGCCCTAGGGAGTGTCAGGCGCAAAGACTTAGCACATTGACACCCCAAGTCCAGGGCGCCTTGCCTCTGGCTGGAGGGAGCCTGGGGTAGTCACCACTTCTAGGTCTGTCTGGAAGCTACTTTGCAAGAAATGAGGGCCCCCAATGTGGGTGGGCCTGGCCCAGAGCAGCCCCCAGGCCGGCCCCTCACCCAGTCCTCTGTGCTCTGCATCACCCCAGTGTGGCCCCATGGAGTCCTCCGAGAGGGACTGAGTCCAGAACCCCAGTCTGGGCTGCCGCTTCCAGCGGGCACATGCTTTCCCACCTGAGCTGGCAGACTCCTGCCTGAGCCCGACGTGCTGGGTGGTTTGAAGTCTTGTTTTCTCTTGCCCAGGCCCAAGTGAGGGCTTGTTTGCCTCTGCTGCCCTCCGACCCGGCCCCGGAGGGTGGACCTGAAGTACTGGTGGAACTGGGACGGGTGGGTTTCTCAGCTGTGGGGTTCAGAGAGAGGAGCAGGGGTGGGGGACCAGTCAGCAACTTTGGGGACTGGGCGACCTCGCTTCTCCCTTGCTCTTGGCTGCGGGGCCAGCACGCGTCCCCAGACACTACGTGTTACTTGAGAGGACAGCGGGCTTTCATTTATTAAGCGAAGAGGACACGAGCTAAATGTGAATCTTGCAGCAGGCACCCCATTTGCAGAGGGGAGCAGAGGCTCCCCGGGGTCTGTCCTGAACACGCCCCCTTGCTGAGCACCCCAGCTGGGAATCTGCAGCAGCTCTGGGCTCTCGGCCTGCAGCCGCCCCACGGGGACCCACCTCTTCCGCATCAGTCAGATTCGGCCCTGGCTGTGGGATGCGCTGAGCTGGGTCAGGTTTGGGGAGCAGGTGACCTGGCCTGCCTGTGCGCGCGGTGCCAGCTGGGCAGCTCGGTCCTGAGCAGCTGCCACGCGGGTCTCTGCAGACGTGTGGGCCAGCGTGAAGGTGGAGTGCGAGCCCAGCTGGCAGCCCTTCCAGGGCCACTGCTACCGCCTGCAGGCCGAGAAGCGGAGCTGGCAGGAGTCTAAGAAGGCGTGTCTGCGCAGCGGGGGCGACCTGCTCAGTGTCCACAGCATGGCCGAGCTGGAGTTCATCACCAAGCAGATCAAGCAGGGTGGGTGCTTGCCCAGCGTCTGCGGTGAGGGCCAGGCCACCCTGCAGGTGGCTGAGGTGACCTGGCCACACGGTCTCTTCCTGTTGCACCCCCAGAGGTGGAGGAGCTCTGGATCGGCCTCAACGATCTGAAGCAGCAGATGAATTTTGAATGGTCCGATGGGAGCCTTGTGAGCTTCACCCACTGGCACCCCTTTGAGCCCAACAACTTCCGGGACAGCCTGGAGGACTGTGTCACCATCTGGGGGCCGGTGAGAACCCCCTTTACATACCACTAGGCCTAAAATGCACCCCTAGCTTCCTCATGCTACCCCAGCTGAAGGACCCGCTCTTGGCAGCTCCACCCTGCAGCAACACCTGTGCACCCCAGAAGCTCCCTCCCCTGCCCCCCCTGCAGAGATTGCTCCCTGCAGGAGACTGAATCTCCTTTCCACCCCAGCCAGCTGGCTTGCCCTGGGCTTGTCATTTAACTTCTCCGAGCCTCAGTTTCCTCCTCTGGCCGTGGAACACCCGGAGTGCCCACCTCGAGATGAGGGTTCATTTTTGTGAAGCCTTAGGACACAGCCTGGCACCATCTTGGTCTCCTGCCAGCTACTTTACCCTGCTGGCATCAGGACCCACATTACCTGGACCTTGCCCACAGGAGGGCTGCTCTGTGCCAGCCCTTCCAGTCCAGGCTGCTGTCTCCCCGGGAAGTAATGTCAGTTTGCCAAGGCGCTGGCCTGGACGCTCTGTCGTGAATTGGGGCAGGGCTTTAAGCAGAGACTGAAAGGGACAAAGCCTCGGGGCAGACTACCCACTCCAGGGCAGCCGTGTCCCGAGGCACTGCAGAGAGAACCCGGGACCTAGAGGATGAGGCCTAGAGGACGCTGCTTTAAACTTCACAGGCTGTTATTTGCTGTGTGTTTGTTCTCCGGGGGCTGAGCACAGGTGTGTCTGCCCTGGCCGGAGCTTCAGCACACACTAGCTCTGGTGTGGACAGAGGGAGGTTGAGGAGGCATTGGGGCCCACGTTAAATCCCACTTTGGCTCCATCAGCCGAGATTTGGGTCAGATCTCAGTCTTGCCCCCGCCCCAACCTGCCCCCTACCCTGAGTAGCCAAGGCCCTGCGAGACTCCTCTGGCAGCTGTAGAAGTCTCACCTGTCTGTCCCCCGAGGTTACTCTAACCACGGCAGCGGGTTTGTCCTGGTCCTTTATAACCTGAGCTGAAAGTCACCGGAGAGAGCCCCGTTTCCCCCTAGACAGCACTTGTCAAAAGTCAAGGCCTTTGCATCCCGGCCCGGCCAGGCTTTTAGAATGACTCCTGCTCTCTTCATTTTATAGCCTGGAACACAGAGAGGTCAAGTGTCTTGAGGCAGGTCTCGAAGCCGGGTTTGCTGGGTTTGCCGAGGGCTCGGGAAGTCGGAGGGCGGGAGCTGAGAGTCTTTCACCCCGTGCCCCTAGGAAGGCCGCTGGAATGACAGCCCCTGTAACCAGTCCTTGCCATCCATCTGCAAGAAGGCAGGCCAGCTGAGCCAGGGGGCCGCCGAGGAGGACCATGGCTGTCGGAAGGTGAGGGTGCTCTGGCACCGCCCTCCCCGCCCCGCCCCGCGTGTTGAGCCCGCAGGGGTCCCAGGGAAGGGAGGAGAGGGGAGCCCCCAGCTCCTCCCCTCCTTGGGGCTCACCTGCCTCCCGCCCTCCAACCTTGTGTTCCAGAAGGAGCAATTCTGGATGAGGCGGGTGGGGCGGGACCTGCTCTTAGAGTCCAGCTCCGAGCCCCCTGTCCACGGGGAAGTCACTTCCCAGAGGCACAGAGAACTAGAGGTGACTTGGGTGGGCCCCGAGTCTGGCCCAGTCATCACCCGAGTGCGGCATCCTGGTGAGCCTCTGGCAGCCGCCGCCCAGCTCCCCCTTGGCTTTGTGGGCCCAGCAGGCATCAGCCGCAGCGTGGGTGTCTGACGCTGGAGGGGTGAGGCCCTGCGGGCTCTCCCTCCCTGCATTTAGCCTGAGGTTTCCAGCACCTGTCCGGGAGGGAGGGGCTAGGACCCCAGGTAGGAATAAGTGGGTGGAGGAGTGAGTGTTCAGTGACCCACTCCAGCCCCCACCCCAGTGCCTCCTCCCTGGCTGCCAGCCCAGCGGGGCCATGAATTAGAGACGTAGGGTGAATTTGCCGCAGAGGACAGTTTCTGGCACTTTGGCCCCGGACAGTCCATCTGTTCCTCCTGCCAGTCCCTTGCTGCCAGTCTGGCTCTTCATGCTGTACTCCTGGCTCTTCACCAGCGTATTCACGCTCCCTCCCCACACCCTGCCCCCCTGCCCCCCAGACTCCACCAGGCCACGCAGGGAATGCCAGCAGGCATGCCCTCCAGTGAGGAGGGAGTGGTGGCAGCCTGGGGCCAGAGGGTCAGAGATGGCGCCGGCCCCCTGCCCTGACTTGGGGTGGGGCGTCACTGTCGCCCTGGCATGGGGCTGCCCGGGGTGTGCTGGGGGGATGGAGAAGCCAGTTACCACTCTGGAGAGCCAGGGATTTAGCGCTGCCCACTGCTGCCCTGGCTGCGGTCCTCCTGCCCTGGGGCAGTTGCTCTCTCCCAACCTGCAGCCCACCCGCGGCTTCCCACTTCAAGGTCCCTGGCAGCGAGGGCTGGGCGCCGGCGGGCACCTGGAGGCACCGTAGGGGAGGGCAGGCGCCGCTGTCCGTTTGGGTTCGAGTCCAGGTTCCGCCGCCGCCGGGTCCTGCCTGACCTTGGTGGGGCAGTCAGGGGTTTCTCCTCTGCAAGCAGGAGAGCGCGCCCCTGGTGGCCAAGGGGAGAGGGTGCAGCCTGGGTGCAGAGCCAGCTCCACGGAGCCTCTGCCGGCGGCCTGGGCCACTCGCACCCACCGCACGCTCGGAGGCTCGCCCAGCCCCCCCCCCCCCCCGCCGTTTGCCCAGCGCTTTGGCTCTTATTTCCCAGCCCGTTGGCAACCTTCCAGCTTCTCGTGGCTCATCTGCCAAGAGAGGCGGCTGCCGGGCCACTCGTCTTTCTGTGCCAGGCCACGGGTCAGGGGCTGCCTTGTCCACCCTGGGGCTGTGTCCCCCACCAATTTCCTCCCCCCCCCAGCTCTGGGTGATGGGTGGGGATGTGTTGGGTGCCATCTCTGGTGGCAGACCCGTCCTTCGTCCTGCGCCCCGCCTATGGCACGCTCAGCCCGGCCACAGACACCCCTCTTCTGCCCACTATCTCGAGCCAGGGTTGGACGTGGCACAGCCCCTCCTGCTACTGGCTGGGGGAGGACCAGGCCACCTACGGCGAGGCCCGCCGCCTGTGCGCCGACCACAGCTCGCAGCTCGTCACCATCACCAACAGGTGGGGCGCAGGTTGGCCTCCCCACACCCTGGCCTGGGGGCCCCTCCACCCCGAGGGTAGCCTCCTGCCATCCCAGTGGAGGGACTGAGGGTTTTGAGCCTCAGCTGGCCCTAAGGGCTTTTTCTACCATCACAAGGCTGGTTTGTTAAGTGACCCCGCATGGTGCTGGCTGGAGAGATGGGCCAGCTCTGTGCCTGGCTTTTCTACTTCTTAGCAAAACAGGGAGGTGCCTAGAAAGGGGAGTTGGGGTGCTGTGGGGCAGGCTGCCCTGGGGTCCCCACTTCCCTGGGCAAGCGACAGGTCGGGTGCAGCCCAAATTGCCGGGGCCGGCATCGGGCGCGGGGCCCAGGGAGGGGTGTCAGGTGAGTCCCGCCTTCAGCAGCCTCTGCGCGGCAGGTTCGAGCAGGCCTTCGTCAGCAGCCTCATCTACAGCTGGGACGGCGAGTACTTCTGGACGGCCCTGCAGGACCTCAACGGCACCGGCTCCTTCCGCTGGCTCAGCGGGGATGCAGTGATGTACACCCACTGGAACCGCGACCAGCCAGGTGGGCGCTGCTCCCGCGCTTGCTGGCCTCGGTGAGGCCGGGGGCTGCTGTGGCCCGTGGGACCCACAGCCCAGACTTCACAGTGTGGCCCTGCTGTGGGTGAGGTGGCCAGGGGCACGGCCAGGGGCACGGCCCTGGCGCCAGACTGCCCCGCTCAGCTCCTGACCCCGCTGTCTCGTTAGCTGTGCATGGCCGAGCTCAGCTTCCTCATCTGGACGTGGGGATTACGGTACTTTCCTCCGTAGGCTGACGGGCGGCCAAGGGGTCACAGATGTCAAGCTCTCAGCAAAGCACATACAAGTGCTCGTATTCGCCTGTTTCAGGTTCATTATGTTTTTTTAACGCTTTTAAGATTGTAATGAGGAAGGTGATGAAACAGGCTCAGAGAGGTTAAGCAGCCTGCCGGGAGCTCACAGCAGGCAACATAGACCTAGACCCCTGTTTCCATTCCCTTCCTCCTGCCTGGCTGCCCCCCCGCCCCCACCCTGCAGACATGACCAAGCTGTAGGGGTGCTAGGGGGACCAGGCCCCAAGTCCTCCTCCGCACGCAGGTCCCTTCTCCCCTTTCAGGGTACAGCCGTGGCGGCTGCGTGGCCCTGGCCACGGGCAGCGCTATGGGGCTGTGGGAGGTGAAGAACTGCACCTCGTTCCGGGCACGCTACATCTGCCGCCAGAGCCTGGGCACCCCAGTGACGCCTGAACTGCCGGGGCCAGACCCCACACCCAGCCTCACGGGCTCCTGTCCCCAGGGCTGGGCTTCAGACCCCAAGCTCCGCCACTGCTACAAGGTACACAGCCTGCGGGAGGGGGGGAGGAGTGAGCGGCGAGGCAGCCCAGCTGCGACAGGGGTCCCCTGGGGGCCCAGCCACGATTCAGATACTCCCCATAGCAGATGTGGATAGATGTGAGCGGTGACACACTCGGCAGTGGGACCCAGGGGGCTTAGCAGGCGCTCAAGACATTTGACGACCTGAAGAAGCCATAGACACCTCTGGGTTCAGGGGTCCCGAATGTTGGGCCGCAGGGCTGCACCATGGCGACTGGAGCCTGTCGGTCGGTCGGGCAGGGCCTGGTCATCTGTATTTTTAAACTCTGTCAGATTGGGAGCCACTGACCTGAGCATGTAGTCCAAGGTCTTTTGCATGAAGAAACTGAAATCCAGGGAGACAAAATGACTTGCCCAATGGCCATAGCTGGGCCTGGCTAACAGGGGAGGGAGCCAGATCCTCCTTAGGTTAGGGGGGCCTGAGGGGCATTCTCCACCCCTGGGGCTCATTCTGTGGTGAGCAGGGAGCCTCTAGGGAGCTCCCCTCCATGGTCTGGGCAGGTGCCCCCTGGGGAGACGGCTCGTGGGGACAGCTTGGACAGGTGGACTGTGCCCCTGTAGGTGTTCAGCTTGGAGCGGCTACAGGACAAGAAGAGCTGGGTCCAGGCCCAGGGGGCCTGCCAGGAGTTGGGGGCCCAGCTGCTGAGCCTGGCCAGCTACGAGGAGGAACATTTTGTGGCCAACATGCTCAACAAGATCTTCGGGTACTGAGCCTGGGGCAGTGGGCTGCGTGCATGTGTGTGGGCGGGGCAGGGTGAGGGCCATTCCACCGCAGCGAGGCCTGGCCGAGGCTTGGGATGGCCTGTGCGTCTGCTCGTGTGCCAGGACCATCCTGTCCTCCCTCAAGAGCCTCATTTCTGAAGTCAAGGCGCTGTGGTGCCCACCAGCATCAGAAAGCCTAAGTAGATGCCCTCTTCCCCCCCAACACTGCACAATCTTCTATAGGCTGATCTAGTGAAGCATCTCCCCACCCCCGTAATAACTCACACTCCTCGTCAAACAGCTTTTCTGAGAGATGGGAGGACAAAGGCTACTGCCCATGGCGCTCCCTCGGGGTCCCATCTTTGTCTTGTGGGCACCAGCATCCTATGATACACGACACCCATCATCCCTTTGCACTAGGAAAACTCCAGATGGATCCAGGCTTCCTGAGAGCTTAATTCCAGGCCCTCGTCCTCCCAGCAAACATCACCATGGCATTATGTGACTCGTGACTGTACCAGCTCACATGTTTGCTTCTCCCCAGGGGCCAGGCCCTCAACTAAACATTTGAATCCTCGTCAACTCCCTCCCCTGCCCCAGGAGGTACACATCCCCCTCTGTGGGCCCAGCTACGCTGGGGTTACTGGCCCACGGTCACCGCTGTCTTGGCCTGGTGATGGAATCCTAGTTTATCCTATTCCAGAACCCCAAGTTTCTGCTCTATCCTCACTGGCTTCTTAAACTCCTTAAGGTGAAAGCCTGCAGAGTTTTGCTGGCAGGCAAACCCTGCCCAGAGGGACTCGGGAAGGGGCAGCAAGGGAAGTGACCCACAGGGTGCTTCTGGATGCCCAGTGCCCAGATGGAGAGGCCCCAGGCCCTCTGGTGGCCGGGTCAGAGCGGCAGGTGGCAGGGGGTGTGTCCCTCCACCCCCATCTCTTCTGCCCCCACCCCCGCCCGCTGAAGGGAATCAGAGCCTGAGATTCAGGAGCAGCACTGGTTCTGGATGGGTCTGAACCGGCGAGACCCTGCAGCAGGACAGAGCTGGCGCTGGAGCGACGGTCTGGGGGTGAGGGCGTTTGGAAGAGGCGGGGGTGTGGGCGGGGCTTGATTGTGGGCGGGGCTTGATTGTGGACGGGGCTTATTTATGGGCGGGGCTTGTTTATGGGCGGGGCCTGATGCAGAGGGGCCAGCAGGAGTTGGGGCCAGGTTTAGGGGAGGAAGGAGGGTCTCTGGCCAGAGCTGACAGATAAAGGAAGTGTGAGGAGGGTGACCCGCCCAGGTTGGAGGTTTCCGCTCTGGCCTGGCCTCCTGTCACCCTCCCTGGGCGAGGGGGATAGCCCCGCCTCTCACCTCGGAGCCCTTTCCCACGCCGATCTCTTTAGTTCTCTTACCACAATTTTGACCGGAGCCGGCATGATGACGACGACGTCAGGGGCTGTGCAGTGCTCGACCTGGCCTCCCTCCAGTGGGTGGCCATGCAGTGCGAGACGCAGCTGGACTGGATCTGCAAGATCCCTCGAGGTTGGGGGCACGCTGGGAGAGGAAGAGGGGGCGAAGGTCGCGGGGCTTGGGATCAGGGGAGCGCTGCAGCATCTCTGTTGTCATTGATCCCCAGGTGTGAACGTGAGGGAACCTGACATCAGCCCACAAGGTGAGATCCGCTCCTGGTGGCCTGGGGTGGGACGGAAGGAAGGAGGAGGGGGCTTGAGTCTGCCGAGTATCCAGGGGACCCGCGTCTCCAAGGGGCAAGCCTGGATCTGGAGACTGGAGGTTCCCTTGGGTGCCCGTGGGCACGCAGGCCGCGCCTGCCTGCCCTGGCCCTGCCCTCTCGCGCGCCCACACCCCGGGCTGGGCTGCCCCGCAGGCCGGCAGGAGTGGCTGCGCTTCCAGGAGGCCGAGTACAAGTTCTTCGAGCATCACTCCACGTGGGGGCAGGCCAAGCGCATCTGCACGTGGTTCCAGGCCGAGCTGGCCTCTGTGCACAGCCAGGCCGAACTGGACTTTCTGGGGCACAACCTGCAGAAGGTGGGCGCTGGAGCCAGCGGGGGGCTGTGGGCAGGCGCGGGCGGGCAGGTGGACTGGCCGTGCCAACCTTCTTCCTGCCCAGCTTCCCCAGTTCTCCCGGGGCCAGGAGCAGCACTGGTGGATCGGCCTGCACACCTCGGAGAGCGACGGCCGCTTCAGGTGGGGGCCCTGGGCAGCAGCTGGGGGGGGCGCCTGCATGGACTCTCTGCAGTGTCCCCAGACTAGAGCTGCCGGGAGGGCATAGCACAGACAGGTGGATGTGGATTTGACTCTAGCTGCTCTGGCCCTAGCCGGCTGCGTGGCCTTGAGCGGGGGACTTAACCTGTCTGGGCCTTGGATTTCTCATGTGAAAATGAGAAAGGAGTCCTGCCTGGTAGGGTTGTTGAAAGGATTAGAAAGAGGGATGTCGTGTCCTTAGCCCAGCATCCAGCACATGGCTGGGCACCAAATAAGGGTGGCACATGTTAAGCCTGGCAGGACATGGTGGTCCCAGGGGTCTCTGTGTCCAGTCCCCACCTACCACTGTGGGCTGGAGGAAAAAGGCCCCGTGCAGTGGGCATGTGAACCACCCTGGACGCTTGCTCTGGGACCCTTAGGCTTCTAGCTAGAGAAACCCAAGGTGCAACGGGCCTCACCTGGAGCCTCCAGGTCTCTGGGTCCCCGACTGTACTGAGCTCCATGCCTCCAACCCCCATCTTGTGACCACTGAGCCCCTGGATGTGGGCCCTTCCCGCCCCCGTGGTTGAGGCTTCCTGACTGCACGTGGGAGCTGGGCACAGCACCAGTGCCAGTTGCCCCTGTGGGGTGCCATTGCAGGTGGACGGATGGCTCCATCATAAACTTTATCTCCTGGGCACCGGGAAAACCTCGACCCATCGGCAAGGACAAGAAGTGTGTGTACATGACGGCCAGCCGAGGTGAGGGCAAGGGTGGGCAGGAAGGCCTCAGTGGCAGTGAGGACTGGGCAGAGCTGCTGTTAATTCTCCTTCTCTTTGTTCCCGCAACCCAAGAAGGGCTTGGCCCGGAGAGGGGAGGGCCTGTCCCCATGCCACAGCCACAGGATTGCGTTGGGGACACAGGACCCTGACCCCAGCCGGCCGCCCTGGGGTGACTGCCCTCCCCCTTCTCTGCAGAGGACTGGGTGGACCAGCGGTGCCTGACAGCCTTACCCTACATCTGCAAGCGCAGCAACAGCACCAGAGAGACACAGCCCCCGGACCTGCCCCCCACCGCCCTGGGAGGCTGCCCCTCTGGCTGGAAGCAGTTCCTCAACAAGGTAGGCGGTGAGGGGCTCCCAGCGGGGCCAGGGAGAGAATGGGAACCTCAGCAGGCCTCACACCGTGGCCTCTCGTCTGTGCCTGCCGATCTTGCTCCTCCTGGCTCCAGGGCAGGCTCTTGGGAAGTAACTCAGTGGGGTCACCTCTTCTGACCCATCAGGAAAAGGGGTGCTTCCCAGAGTTTGGGGAGCTTTCTATATCAGTGGTCACCAAACATTTTGCTAATGATTCCTCCTAGGAAAACAAAATACTGACCATATGGAGATGTATATGCGTTAGGTATAATGAGTCAGCACAAAGCAATGGGAAGTGTGAGCTAAAGGTTTAAGAGCGAGCGCTATTTCTAAGGTAACATTTTTTGATCAGTGGCATGAAAACAATTTTGTGCTCACTCCAAAATCCTCAGCTATACTCGTTAATACTTAAGTAATGTTAAAGAGCAAGGTGATTGCATATTCATTCCTTCTAAAACTCACCGCCTGACATTCTGTGATTCATGACGCAGGGGTCTTGTTTGACATTCAAATTATTTCAGAACATGGATTTAATGATGGTTGCACATTAAAAGATGGCTTCATGAAGACAAATAGATCGAAATGAAAAAAGTTCATTCATCATTGGCCGCACTTTTCAAGTCGCTCTCTCCATTCCTCACTTCTGATTAAGTGAATTAATTAAAGGTTTGGGCTTTAAGATTGTGTGGTAAGTGGCAGCATTTTAAACGAATCTGCCTCAAAACTAACCAACCCTGATCGAGAGGGTTGTGGAAAATATCTTGGGCAGATTTAAAAAAGTATTCAGAGGGCCCTCCCTGGTGGCACCGTGAGTAAAAGCACAGCACTATGAAGCTGTCACAAGTGCTGCAGAGAGTTGATCCCTGGCGAGGGAGTGACCTCTCCTGACCTGCCTGCTGCTCCTCTCAGCAGTGTATTTCAGTCCATCTGCCTGTTCTGCTCCCCACTCTGTCTCTGGTGAATTCTTTCACCCCCCCACACCTCTGGCCTGTACCCCAGTTCTGTATGAATAAATACATTTATCTTTTAAAAAAAATAACATTTAGAAAATCCCCTTCCTGAGTGTTTTGGGTATGCATCTAGGAACATGTGTTTAGGCAAAGTTCATCAACAGTCTGCTGCTGCATTTTTTAAAAATTTAATTTAAAAAAGATTTTATTTTTATTTATGTATACAAAACCTGGGGTGTAGGCGGTGGTGAGAGCATTCACTAGAGACAGAGTGGGGAGCAGAACAGGCAGACTGACAAAGTACACTGCTGAGGGGAGCAGCGGGGAGACAGGAGAGGTCTGCCGTGCCATGGCGTCAGCTCCCTGGCCGGGATCGAACTCGTGATGTAGTAGCAGCTGATGGCGTAGTGCCGGGCTTTAACCCCTCGTGTCACCAGGAGCCCAGCATGGGGCTCTAAGCAAGTTTCCAAATGTTCCATGTGAGGATTCGGTTACCTTCCCACTGACCCCTAGTCAGCTCTGATGAGACCGTCCTGGGTGTTTCCTTGTGGCTGGCACGAGCTTCTTCCAGGAGGAGGAGAGGCCTCCCTTGTTTCTGCTGGGTCATTACTGTGTCTCAGCCCTATGGGACATTCTAAGATCCCCCAAACCTGGTGGTGAGGATTAGGTTAGTCAAAGCTGAGCATCTCATCTGTAAGTCTTTGTCAGACACTGGAGCTCTTTCTCTCTTCAGCATATTCAGGTGACTGTTCCACCTTCCTTTCTTCCTTTGGGGGTTCCCCCTCTGTCTTCTGGGGATGGGACTGGTGGCATCCAGAATGGTCCAGTGGTTGGACTTCGTCCATAGGCTCTCCTCCGCACAGCTTCTGGCAGAGCTAAGCTGTCCAGCCCCCTGCATACGAATTGTTTACCTTTATATCTACGTTGGCAAAACAGCCAGCTCCTCACGTGCGTGGGCCCAGGCGGACTGGGAGGGTCGGTGGTGTGAGATTCCGTGTCCTTACGAAGCCGAGGGGGTTCTCTGTGCCAGATACATCTGCGACTGGCTCTAGTACCCCTTCCTTACTGAGTTGCAGAACAGGGGCATGGAAGTGTTAAAGGCACAAGCACAGTCAGAAAGCTTTGTGGGTAATTTAAAAAAAGTGTATCCTTGAAAACTCCAGAAAGAAAGAAAATGTAACCCTCTGCAGAGACAACCACTGTCACTATTCAGTACTCCCCTTCCCGCCTTTCCCATGTTTGGCATCATACTAACCAGTACAACTTTGTATCCGGCATTTCTTCCTCAGTATTTTTTTTTTTTTTTAAGCATTTTCTCATGTTCTGGAAATTCTTGTATGGCTTCTTCCACCTGACAAGAAACTCTCCATTTCGCACGCAGAAGGGGCCCCAGCACCTGTAAGCTACTTGGTGCGCCGGCAGGCAGCCCCTTGAGCTGAGGCTTCTTGCTGAGGGCAGTTTGCGATGTGACTTGCTGCTTCTGAGTTGATGACTAACTGACTAGTTATTTCAGTGAGGCCTCCGAGTGGTTCTCGAGCTACTGTGAAACCACACATGTGAGTTTTGCGACAGCCTTCCAGAAACACTTGCATATTTCTGGGCTTCTGCTCTTCTGCTGAGAGTCAGTCATCTGGGCCAAGGGCTGGTCCTGGGCCTGATCACTCACCCTGAGGCCCTCGCCAGTGAAGCGCTGACTTGCTTATGTGCTGCTCTCTTTAGCCTTTAAAGTGATCCCCAAAGACAGGGTTTTAAAATTCTGTTCTGCAGAAGAATGAGTTGAGGACGGAAAGATGAAGTCGGGGCTGGGCTCTGACCCCCCAGCCCACCCCGCTCACTGCCTGTCTTGTGACCCTAAAACTTCCTTCGGTTCTTCCCCCCTTATCACTGTGCCTCAGAGCAGAAGGTTGCTGGAAGTCATTTGTTCCCAAAGAACGAGACCTCCCTTGACAAAAGATGGCCCATGTAGGGTTCTTCTCTCAACCCTCTGGAATAAATGAAGTAGAAAGAAATAAAATATAGTGTTAGAAGCTGCTGCTTAACAGAGAACAAAGATCCTTCACCAATAAACAGAAATAAACGTACCTTTGAAGGCAAGATGAGAGGTTCAGACGACACTCAGGAGGCGAAGGAGAGGGCCTTGTCCCCGCCCCCAGGGCTTCACCGGGTGCTGCTGTCAGAGGGAGAAGACCCAGGTGGCCCAGAGAAGCCCTCCCCCAGCATGCCCTGCGCGTACCTGCTGTGCCAGGACCTGGCTCAGGGGACCCGGAGCCCTGGTTCTGATACCTTTTTTTCTCCCAGCCCTCAGGTCTCCCCAGACCTGCTGCAGAGAGGTTTGTGGGTTCGTAGGGCGGGGAGGTGGAGCTGGACATCATCTTTCCCCCCCAGTGTTTCCGAATCCAGGGCCAGGACCCCCAGGATCGGGTGAAGTGGTCCGAGGCACAGTTCTCCTGTGAGCAGCAAGAGGCCCAGCTGGTCACCATTGCCAACCCCTTAGAGCAAGGTAGGGCAGCCCCCAGCGTCAGCTGACAGCCCCCAACGGCTGGTGCAGAGCCACCTGGGGCTCCCACTCATAAGTCTCTCTTTCGGGGGACTGTAGCGTTCATCACAGCCAGCCTGCCCAGTGTGACCTTTGACCTTTGGATTGGTCTCCATGCCTCGCAGAGGGACTTCCAGTGGGTGGAGCAGGAGCCTCTGCTGTATACCAACTGGGCCCCTGGGGAGCCCTCTGGCCCCAGCCCTGCTCCCAGCGGCAACGTCCTGGTGAGGATGCCCCTCCCCACCCTCCCCAGCCGCGCCCCCCCATGGAGGCCATGGAACTCGCCTTCATTCCCTGGGTCCGCTTCTGGCCCGTTTGTTCGTAGTGCAGCCTCTGGGGGCAGCGGCCCAGGGGGCAGCTGCTGGGGCTCCCCTGAGCAGCTCCTCCCCGCCCCCCAGACCAGCTGTGCCGTGGTCCTGCACAGCCCTTCAGCCCACTTCACCGGCCGCTGGGACGACCGGAGCTGCACGGAGGAGAGGCATGGCTTCATCTGCCAGAGGGGCACAGGTGTGCGGCGTGGGGAGCGGACGCTGAGCGGGGCCCTGGCCCGGGACCCACGGTCACCCCTGGAGTAGAGTATCTGCTTGGGAACCCCGTGGGCAGAGAGGCCAGAGCCAGTGAGAGGGAGCACGGAGCCCGGGCCCTCGGGGCAGGTGTGAGTGCAGCAGGCTGAGCGGGCGAGTGAGACCCTGGCGCGTGTTGTGTCAGGGCCTGAGTTGACGCACCTGCACTCCACGCACAGGTCCCTGGTAGCAGCGGGGTAGACGCGAGCTTGGCTGTCTACCTGCCAGCAGACTGTCTTAGTGGTAACACAGTGGCAGGCGCCACTGAGCGTCAGTCTGTCCCAAGCACGGGCCCAGTGCAGATCTGGGCTCGGCCTGGTGTCTGGAGCTCCCCTGGCCTCATGCCTGGGAATGGGGTGCGGCAGGCCGAGCCCAGCCTGAGCCCTGTCCCTTCCCTGTAGACCTGTCCCTGAGCCCATCCCCAGAGGCGTCGACCCCTGCCCTGGGGGCTGAGCTCTCCTACCTCAACGGCACCTTCCGGCTGCTGCAGAAGCCGCTGCGCTGGCATGATGCCCTCCTGCTGTGTGAGAGCCGCAACGCCAGCCTGGCCTACGTGCCCGACCCCTACACCCAGGCCTTCCTCACTCAGGCCGCCCGGGGGCTGCGCACACCCCTCTGGATCGGGCTGGCCAGCGAGGAGGTGGGCCCCCAACTCTTGTCCTGGCCCCACTCCCCTGACTCCCTCCCGGGCCTCTCCCACCCCCTGCCTTCCCGATCCCTTCTTCCCACCCTCACGGCTCCCGCCTGCCCAGGGCTCCCGGCCGTACTCCTGGGTCTCAGAGGAGCCTCTAAACTACGTGAGCTGGCAGGAGGGGGAGCCCCAGCAGCCGGGGGGCTGCGCCTACATGGATGTGGACGGGGCCTGGCGCACCACCAGCTGTAATACCAAGTTGCAGGGGGCTGTGTGTGGCGTTCACAGGGGTACGTGCCCAGCTGCCCGGCGTGGGGAAGGGCTGCGGTGGGCAAGGTGCAGGCCGTCCCTGGGATGGGCCACTTCCTCCATCTTGCACCCCGCAGGGCCCCCTCCTCCCCGGAGAGTGAGCTTCCGGGGCAGCTGTCCCCAGAGCCTGGCTGACTCCGCCTGGATCCCCTTCCGGGAGCACTGCTACTCCTTCCACATGGAGCTGCTGCTCGGCCACAAGGAGGCGCTGCAGCGCTGCCAGAGAGGTGGGCATGCCAGCAGGCATTTCCGGTGGTACCCCTCGTCGTGGGCACCCACGGGCCCCATGAGTGCAGCCCCTGCACCCCCGGACAGCACTCACATAAGGGCCCCTGATGTTGCAGTACAGACGCCAAACGCAGCAGCACCAATGGGTGCCCTTGGACACACGTGCACACAGCCCGTGCTGTCCTCCCCGAAGCTGCAGAGAGGCGCGGGCTTCTCTCTGGGGGCTCTGCTGCCCCAGGGAGACCTTTGTCCTGACGGGGGCCTCCCTTGTGTCCAGCGGGCGGGGCAGTCCTGTCCATTCTGGATGAGATAGAGAACGTGTTTGTCTGGGAACACCTGCAAAGCATTGATGGCCAGAGTCGGGGTGCCTGGCTCGGCATGAACTTCAATCCCAAAGGTGGGTACCCTGTGTGTGGCTGGGGGAGAGTCAGGCCTCAGGCTGCAGGGCGTGGCTGGGGCGAGGACTTGTGGGAGGGGGGAGCTGCTTCTAGAAGG